ACACGGGCCTCTCACTGTTGTGGCCTCTCCCGTTGTGGAGCACAGGCTCTGGACGCACAGGCTCAGCGGCCATGGCTCACGGGCCCAGCCGCTCTGTGGCATGTGGGATCTTCCCGGACCGGGACACGAACCCGTGTCCCCTGCATCGGCAGGTGGACGCTCAACCACTGCACCACCAGGGAAGCCCCTAAACTGATTTTTATATACTGACTTGGTATCCTTCGAAACTCACTTCTAGTTCTAGTAGATTTTTTTTTGTAGTGTTCTAAAGTATTTTTGTCTGCAAATAGTGTTCTTTCTTTCCAATGTAATGCCTTTTAAAAATTTTTCTTTGTCTGGTTTTATCGCACTGACTAGAACCTCCAACACTACATTTAACTGAAAGCAATTTTTTTCAGAGAAATAGTCCTGTCTCCTGGTGCAGATTAGTATCAACTATAGGACCTTGTTGAATTTAATTAGATTTTAAAAAATCATTATGTACGGTTCATCATTAGGCTGTTAGTTTTAAAAACATTCAAATATTCATCAAATGTTCAAATGTTGAACAATTACTGCATGCCAGGCTTTGTGCTGGTTGTCAGGGAGACAATCCTCAGTACACTCTCCATAAGGTATATAAAAGGAGTACACCATAACACAACACTGTAAATCAACTATACTTCAATTTAAAAAAATTTTAAAGGGATACACAGACACATGGATCTGGCCCTAATGAAGTCTCACCACCTAACTGAGGCAGTTTAGAACAAGAGTTAAAAAACACAGCCTCAGGGTTTCCCTGGTGGCGCAGTGGTTAAGAATCCCCCTGCCAATTCAGCGGACACGGGTTCGAGCCTCGGTCTGGGAAGATCCCACATGACGTGGAGCAACTAAACCTGTGTGCCACAACTACTGAGCCTGTGCTCTACAGCCCGCAAGCCACAACAAGAGAAGCCACGGCAGTGAGAAGCCCACACACCACAACGAAGAGTAGCCCCCGCTGACTGCAACTAGAGAAAGCCCATGCGCAGCAACGAAGACCCAATGCAGCCAAAAATAAATAAATTAAATAAATAAATTTAAAAATATATATTTTTTAAAAAGCACAGGCTCAGGGTTCAGTCAGCTTGGGTTTGAATCTGCCTCTGCTCCTTACTGATTGGTTGACCTTGGAAAACTTGACTTTCTTAAGCTTGTTTCTTCAACTGTAAAATGAGAGTATTAATAATACCTTCCTCATAGGACTGCTGTGCGGATTAAATGAATTAGTACCTTTAAAGTACTCAGAACAGGCCTTGGCACATAGTAAATTGTCAACAAATATTATCTATTATTAGAGGGCAAGATTAGTTCTTGCAAGGTAAATCTACAAATGACTGGGGAAGGATGAGTGCGGCAACATGCACAAGCATAAGTAGTAGTTTAATTTAGCTGCTAAGCATAAAGGCGATAGTGAGAGGCATACCTGGGTCTAAACCCTTGCTCTGCTGTTTATTGGCTGTGCAACTTTAAGCGAACTATTTAAACAAGAGCAATGCCTATAAAGTGCCTAGTATAGTATTTGGCACACAACAGATGCTTAATATACAGCAATTATCCACTACGGACGTTCTGAAAAGCCATGATTTCGCCAACATGTGTTCATAATAATAATAGTTGCCATTTACTAGGGCTTACCATTTTGGACTATGTGCTGGTTGCTTTCTATATATTCTCTTTTATGCTTCTTAATCTAGCTAGGTGAGGAAAATGGGCCCCTTTCATGATAAAGAAACGAGATGCTCTTTGTTTAGCTATAACCAGTGGGAGGTTGGAGGCCTAATTAGTAGTGGCCTTGGAATCCAACCCTTGACCAAACCGGGGCTCGCAGTGCCTTTGCCGCCCGCTGGGCTCTCGCTCAGGGGATGGGGCCAGGAGAGCCAGCACCCGCCAGGCCGCACCCACTGAGGCCCCACGGAGCCTTAGCCTCGAGGAGCCTGCCAGGCGAGGCCTCTTCCCCCGCCCCTAGGGCACGGCCTCCTCCTTAGCCTCCACCGCCACACTTCCCTATCGGACGGCCTCCGGGTCCGGGGCCTCGGGTCTTCAGGAGAAGCTGAGCAAGCTAGCGGAAGCTCTGAGGAGGAAGGTTGGGCACCATCTCTAAGGAACGCGCTGGGGCGGGGAGGGTGGTGCACGCTTTGTACGTCACTGAGGTGCGACCGGGTAGCGGCCGGAGCCGGAGGCGCCGCCGCCGCCTACGGGTCTGAGAGGCTGGCTGAGGGTGCGCAGCTGCTGCCGGAAGCGCGATGTCTTGAACCTGGGGTGAGCTCCGTAGCGCTGGTCTGTCGCCGCTTCCCCTGCGCTGCCCCACAGCCCTCGGACAGGGAGGAGAAAAGCCGGCCAAGCCTCGACTGCCGCGCCGGGCTTCCGTGGGAGACAAGCCCCGACCCGCCGCCGCCGTCTCTAGGCCTCGGCTTAGGGTGTGGAGCTGGCTTGGGAGGCCCTTCCGTGGTCGTACTGTCTCTAAGCCAGTGGTTTCCAGTGACAGAGCGTGGAAGTGGCTTGTCCCGTTTTGGGGGCTGGGGTGGTGGTTCAGGGGGATCAGGAGACAGCTTTTCCTCCTCGAGCGCGGATCCGCTTTTGAATGTTGCCGCCGGCGCAGTCAGTCGGCCAGCAGACGTAGCTGTTGGTTCCGAGTGCAGGTGCGCTTGAGGCGGGGTGGTGGCGGAAGGGTGGTGGGTGTGTTGAGTTAACGCGCGAGTGAGGCTAGAATCCTGTGCGCGCGCCCCGCCCTGGACACCCCAGTTAGAAACCCTTGCCTGGGTGATTGCTCAGAAATGGCCAAGTCCGTCTACCTAAACCCGTCCTCCCTTTCTAAATTAGCTTAGGCAGCTCCCCTTGCCAAAGGCCTGGCCTTGTCGAACCAGCCACTGTGAGACCCGGCAGAGACCAGAAGTTTTCTGGCTACTAATTGTAGTATACATTCTTGGAAAGGAAACTTTCTGTGTCGCTTTTGAAATGATTTCTTTGTTATTTTTATCGTGTTACAGAATGTGAGTTTACTATTATTGTTCAAATTTATCCCCAGCCCCTTTAAAATTGCAGTGTACGTCCGTGTTCTGACCCTGTCCTATTTCACCGTGCCAGGTGATGCAGTTTTCATCTCTGGCGTATTTCTAAAGCGGCCGTGACACTTCCTATGGCTTATAACTCTTAGATCTTATGCATGAAGTGATTCTTTTCCACCTTCCCCCGTCCCCGCGCGCCCATTCTTCCTGCTATAAAATGAGCTCCATCCGTTCTGAATTTCATCTGGAACATGAGGTGCCCCGGACCAACGATCCTAAATTAGTCGCCTCTATATTGGAAAGCCCTCAAAGAAGTGATGCTTTCTGAATTCAGAACTCAAAAATGGTATGAATATTTCTCCTTTCCTCTGATGCTGCCTGGCTGCAGTTTCTAAATATTTCCCTCCAGGATATGGTTGTGTGTTTCCAAAATGTGTTCTTTGTCATTTGATAGAAGTGAGTTTTATATTTGATGTGTGTTGTCTGATCCTTCTGAGTTCACATTTAAGCACTTGACACACTTCCTTTCCCTTTCTCTTCCCCCAAAGGCAGAGAATGTCCAGAGAGAATTCTTACAAGTCTAGTTAGTGCATTTTTCCACATATGAAATGTATTTAGTAAACATCCTGGTGATATCAGAAACCCATGTTTTCAGTCTCCAAGTACTATCCGTTTGTAGTTTTTCTTTGCATAAAATTTTTGTCTGATTAAGGTCTTTGACCCCAGAACAGGCATTCTAGACTCTACAGTGGCTCTGACTAGTCTGATAGTTTCACTATGGTCTGTAATAACTGCTGTTACTTTCTTGTCTTGCAGGACTGCTGATAATCTGTTTACAGGTCTAGAGTTTGAGTAAACAATGAGTAATAAAATAGGGACCTAGTTTTTAGTACTTAGTTTTTTTCACTGATGCTAAAACGGACTTAACAGTGAAAATAGTTGATGATTATTTCAACTATAAATATCTCTTCTGTAAGTAAAGAAGTTGATACAAAATTTCATGGAGGTCTCAGAGAGGTTTTCTAAATACTGCAGTATTTGTGAGCTAGTCTTGTACTTCCAGGCTTTTCATCTTTGCTTTACTCCTTTTATGAATGGATATGGTTTAAATTTTCATGAAGGTTTTTTTTTCCAGTTACCCATGATGTGATTTTTATAGCTTTACAAAGAATATTTGAACTACAGCAATTCATTTTGTTAGAAAAAGCAGTGATCAAGTGTTATGTTACCACCCACTGGGGAATGTGGCATTTTTGGAATCCTTGATATTCTTATGAGTTTCAAAATAACAATTATTCTTTATTTAGAAAATCCTTCAAATGTTTTTTTGAAAGCACATTGTTATTCTGCTTGAAAGGACTAAATTATAGGGGCACAATAGTATGAGAGCTGCCAGGTCTTTGAGAAGTCTTGACCAGAGATTTATCTTTTGCTGAATTCTATGCCAGTGGTTTGCAAATTAAGTTCCTGTTCAATACTGTTGTTTCATGATCTAGAGGGAAGTATTTTGCTTATACCAAATAATGAAAATTTCTCAATTTACATAAACATTAATGATACATTTTTACAATTTTATATTTTTTCTTCCATGTATTTTTTTTTAACTTCAGCTTCTCTGCAACTAGTAGATGACTGAACAAGTTAACAAAACTCAAAAGAATACTAAGTTAACAATAAAAAACCAGAAACTGTCAGCAATATTTACTGTATCCATTCATAAACATTTATTGTGTGCTTATGTATATGCCAGAAGAGAGAACACAGCTACTACCCTCAAGAAGCTCACAGAGGGGGATGGTCAAGTGACTTAACTGATGATATGTGCTGTGATAGAAGAATGTGCCTAGTCACCAAAGAGGAACATTGAAAAACCTGTGGCGGGTGACGAGAGGGTGGCCTCAGCAGATTGTTTCATGAACATGCATGCACCCTTGATTGTGGTTTTATTGCATCTAGATCACAGAGTCATATTTTTATGCCCATGATGGACGTTGACATTTATCATATTATGGTATTCAAAATGAATTGTAAATCCTGGGCCCTCTCCACTGAACCAGGTTGAGAACCAATTTTCCTTTTTTTTTTTTTTTTTTTTTTTTTTTTTTGTGGTGTGTGGGCCTCTCACTGTTGTGGCCTCTCACGTTGCGGAGTACAGGCTCTGGACGCGCAGGCTCAGCGGCCATGGCTCACAGGCCCAGCCACTCCACGGCATGTGGGATCTTCCCGGACCAGGGCACGAACCTGTGTCCCCTGCATCGTCAGGCGGACTGTCAACCACTGCGCCACCAGGGAAGCCCGAGAACCAATTTTCCATGCTCTTTCAGTAGTCTCTAGATAGTGTTCCCTTTTAATCTGAGGAGTTAATAATCAGGTTTCCCAGATACCTGATACCAAGTGGAATTATAAGATAACAAGTTAATATGCTGCCTCAAATTATAAATTTTATTCAAAGTTAGGGCACCAGTTCAAAACAATGCAGAAAAAAAAGGGACCATTTTCTTTTTTGGGGGGGGGGGGGAGGTACTGTTTATTGAGGTATAATTGATGTTCAATATTATATAAGTTTCAGGTGTACAACGTAGTGATTTATAATTTTTAAAGGTTGTACTCCATTTATAGTTATTAGAAAATATTGGCTATATTCCCTTTGTTGTACAATATATCCTCGTAGCTTACCTATTTTATACACAATAGTTGGTATATCTTAATCCCCTGTCCTTATCTTGCCCCTCCCCTTTTCCCCCTCCCCACTGGTAACCACCAGTTTGTTCTCTGTTATATCTGTGAGTCTATTTCTTTTTTGTTATATTCACTAGTTTATTTTTTTAGATTCCATATATTAGTGATGCATATGGTGTTTGTTTTTCTCTGTCTGACTTACTTCATTACTTCAATTTCAGGTGTACAGCAAAGTGAATCAGTTATACATATACATATATCCACACTTTCTTAGATTCTTTTCCCATATAGGCCATTACAGTGTACTGAGTAGTGTTCCCTGTGCTATACAGTAGGCCAATATTAGTTAACTATTTTATATATAGTAGTGTGTATATGTCAATCCCAATCTCCCAATTTGTCCCTCTCCCCCTTTCCCCCTTGGTAACCATAAATTTGTTTCCTACATCTGTGACTATTTCTATTTTGTAAATAAGTTCATTTGTACCAGTTTTTTAGATTTCACATATAAGTGATATCATATGATATTTGTCTTCCTCTGTCTGACTTAATTCAGTCAGTATGACAAAATCTAGGTTCATCCATGTTGCTGCAAATGGCATTATATTTCATTCTTTTTTATGGCTGAGTAATATTCCATTGTATATATGTACCACATTTTCTTTATCCATTCATCCATTGATGGAGATTTAGGTTGCTTCCATGTCCTGGCTATTGTAAATAGCACTGCAATGGATATTGGGGTGCATGTATGTTTTCAAATTATGTTTTTCTCTGCATATATGCCCAGGAGTGGGATTGTTGGATCATATGGTAGCTCTATTTTTAGTGTTTAAGGAACCTTCATTTTGTTCTCCATAGTGGCTGTACCAATTTACATTCCCACCAAGAGTGTAGGAGGGTTCCCTTTTCTCCACACCCTCTCCTGCATTTATTGTTTGTAGATTTTTTGATGATGGCCATTCCGACTGGTGTGAGGTGTAGGTTTGATTTGTATTTCTCTAATAATTAGTGATGTTGAGCATCTTTTCTTGTGCTTGTTTGGCCATCTGTATGTCTTCTTTGGAGAAATGTCTGTTTAGGTCTGCACATTTTTTTTTTTTTTTTTTTGGCGGTACGCGGTCCTCTCACCGTTGTGGCCTCTCCCGTTGCGGAGCACAGGCTCCAGATGCACAGGCTCAGTGGCCATGGCTCACAGGCCTAGCTGCTCCGTGGCATGTGGGATCTTCCCGGACCAGGGCACGAACCTGTGTCCTCTGCATCGGCAGGCGGACTCTCAACCACTGCTCCACCAGGGAAGCCCAGGTCTGCACATTTTTTGATTGGGTTATTTTTTGAAATAGAGCTACATGAACTGTTTGTATATTTTGGAGATTAATCCCTTGTCAGTTGCTTCCTTTGCAAATATTTTCTCCCATTCTGTGGGTTGTCTTTTCGCATTTATGGTTTCCTTTGCTGTGCAAAACCTTTTAAGTTTAATTAGGTCCCGTTTGTTTATTTTTGTTTTTCTTTTCATTACTCTAGGAGGTGGATCAAAAAAGATCTTGCTGCAATTTACATCAAAGAGTGTTTTGC